CTAAGAACTTGTAGTAGTGTCAAGCTTATTTGTTATTATTTTGTATCTTTCTTTAGAGACTTGCACGCAGGCTGAAGCACGTGGAAAAGGCAAATTGGGGTGCCCAGAAAACTGCAAGAGTGTTCGATGTTATGAGGGCAGGCTACTGTACATGTCATCAGAAGGAAGCGAGGTCAACGAAACAACAAAAAGGATCATGCGTTACAACGTTCGTAGGCTACCCTGGGAGAGTCCATCTCTATACGAAGGGCAAAGAAAAAGTTAGACAGGCTCCACACCTTGTCTTTGTCAGAACTGGTACGGAGCAGAATTGTTCCTCGCGAGGATGGACAGCCCTCCATTCGACCTAAGCCAAACGACTTCCCGGAGTGGGCAGCTAAGAACGAGGATGATAATGTTGTTGATGAGAGTGCCCAGTCATTATCCCTAGTGGCTGTTCGCTGAATGACTCTGTTAATGACATTTTAAATTATCATGACTCTGATTGCTATAGTTTTTCAGTATAGTAAAGACCCACGATATATCACCCAAAGTTTTCCATGTTCTAATGTATTAAGAGTGCTTTATATATTTGTTGTGAACCTGCATGGCACCTGCATTAAACAGGTTCATACAAAATTCTAAATAGAAATGTTAGACTGAAAGGTTTTTATTCGTGGGTTTTCATTCTGCACGTGAGAATTTGATAATCAAATTTATGAGTTTGCGTAATTTACACTGTTTATACGACATGCATTTATTCTGCATGGCAGATTTTTATGTTATTTATATGGTAAATATAAAATTGAAGAAAAAATTATGTGTGCTGAAATCTTTTTTTTTTGTCTTTGGAGACATTACTTGCTGCTTTGCTATTAAACTCGCCACTGGAGCAGCTTGTTTGCTATTACGTTCAAATCTGGGAAACGCCAGAGAGATCTATGAATGGCATTACTTTTGTTTTATTGATCATCTTACCTGCACGTACAATTTATTAACGAAAATATCTAAAACATGGCTTAACTGTAACTATTATTATTTGACATTTGCATTTGCGATTTTGAATAGTTTGTTTAACCATTAATGTTTAACCATTAATGGTTAAACAATACTATAGGTATTTAATTAAATGGCAAATGGAAACGTCAAATAGACAATATACGTTTCTTTTCTGTTCTTTTCGTACGACATTAAATGTGTTTTAAGGTTAAATAAACATACAAAACACCTTTGCTTAAAGTTGAGTAAAGACATGTACCTTTTCACAGTTTCAACACCACATTAAATGTGATTAAAGGTTAAATAAAGATACAAAACACCTTTTCATAAAGTTGAGTAAAGGCATGCACAGGTACCTTTTCACAATTTCAATACATATTAAATGTGATTAAAGGTAAAATAAAGATTCAAAACACCTTTGCTTAAAGTTGAGTAAAGACATGCACCTTTTTACAATTTCAACACCACATTAAATGTGATTAAAGATGTAAAATACCAGAGCAGAAAAGCTTTGTATATGTAGCTTCAAGGTACCTTTACAACTCATTTCTCTTCGCAGTTAAAGACAAGTTAGAAACATTTAATTCCCTTTAAACAAACTTTTCTCATTCTTTAATAGGTCGTCTTTAATCATCTATAATTATACTATAATTTGGACATTTAAAGCCTCCAGAAAAATCTTTAATCTGCATGCTGAAAGGAGAGTTTAGGTACATTTACTAAATTTAATCAAACTGATTAAATGTGAATAAAGCCGCCAATAACATCGCTTTACGCCACCTTTAACCATGATGATAGCTACTGATTTCGTCCTGTGACGCCTTAAAAACCATCGTTCAACAGGCTGAACTGTGCCTTTAACTGTATGTATCGTATTATATATTATCGTTGTACCGCAAAGCCATAGCATCGAATAAGAAATGAATAGAAGGGCAACTGAATGTCGGACCTTTGAAGTCGGTGTCCTCGCGCATGCCGTGTCGCGCATACCGGAAATTCGACGGCCGCCATTACTCTGGCCAGTAACTTGCTGCCAGAATAAATATAAATTGTATTGAGCGAGCGTTATATTTTCGTTTTAAAAGCATACCGTGGGAGTTTATGTTCAAAATTTTGGTTTTAATGACCAGAGCATTCAAGGAGAAGGTATGTAATTTCAATTTATTTGTTTAAAAGTCAAACTAAATGCTCGTAGGCGCATTTTTTTCTTCGATATTGTTCATGGAGAACCGAATCCAGTAGCTATCGCCTATCGTACAATAGCACAGACAGTAGTTTTAATATAGTTTTAAGTTTCGATGTTTTCTGTCTATCTTTAGCAGTGATTGAATAACAAATCATAAATGGACATCCTTATTGTGTCTCAATATCCTAAACTATTAAGAAGAGTGTCGAAATGTTTGGCTCGTGAACAGTAACTTTAGTCATTTAACAGTCTTAGCTTGTAAACCAGAGCAGCGTTAACACATGTCCAGTATATTATTTAAAGATGTGTGACTTTGATGTATTTTCTGTTCTTTGGTTTAGATGTGGCTAAGTCTCTGTTGGCAAATTTTATGCTGTAGTATATTCGCATTCTCATAAACAGCTTTTGCAAATATTCCAGGGAAAATTCTGGACAGCATTGGAAGGTGATGGGAATGGCTTTGATCTTCGTCAAAATGTTGGCTCCAACACCAGGGCACTTTTTGTAAACAGAAAATTGATCTGAAAACACATCTTCAAGTTTAATAACATAGCCCAAGTAACATGGTGATGGTGCATTCAATCCACCAAAGGGAGTTTTGTTATCTTCGAATGACTTGAAAAAACAGAAAAATTTTCGACCTCCTCCACTACCCCGCTCGCCAACATTTTTGGGAGAAATAGTGGCCCCAAAAAAATGTTTTGCTGCAGGGCATCATCGGCTTTCGCAGGGCAATTCTAGCAGACACCCCCCTAACTAAAAGGGGCTAGTTTCGCCTCTGCTCGTAGTTGCACAGTATTATATTCTATACCAATATATTTTTTATGTAAAAAATAGTCGAAAATTAATAGCCAGAAAAGTGAATACTTCTATTAGTTATTTCTGATTAAAACTAAATATTTTTTTACTCTTATTCTTCACCAATATACATTATAAACCAAAGGGTAAAAGTAAAGTTCCACGTGTAAAGCCGGTTACTGGAAACTCAAAAATACCTTTTACAATATCTTCGTCAGATGTAGATATCCTCTCTACGAATCGTCGTTTCTGACCAACTGTTGGCGGTGGATTCGGAATGTCAAAAAGGGTAGGCTTTGCTTGAGGATTTAGTCGGTTTTTCAGATGACTTGTAAACATGCAGTCTTCGAAGTGAATGGCGCATAGACGGCAATTTCTATACAAATAGTCCGCAGTTTTGTTTTGCAGATCCTGACGCCGGGTAAGTATTACCCATTCCTTAGATCTAAATAATTAATATATTTATATATCGATATACAAAGCAACGGAAAACATTCAAATTTTTTCATCTGTCTTTACGGAAAACGTGGACTACCTTTTGCTATCAGCCGGGAAGCGAAAAAAACTTAGTTCAGGATGCGATCCTTTGGTATTTGAGCAATTAACTGCTGAGCAGTATGTCCTGCTACCCCCTTTCTGCTTTGTTTTACTACTACTCATATTGTAAAAACACTTATAATAAGCAGAAAAGCACTTTGAAAACTGTTTGGAAATACTTCGAACTATCGCAGAAGAAACGCACGTGGCATGAACAAGCCCTTTAAACGCAGGTGTTTCAGGTGGTTATAGGAATCGTGGATTCCAGGTTGAACCCTCAGTTAAGTAGGTGAACCTGAGGTTTTAAAGTAAATATATACACACTGTATTGTAAGTGGTGGCATCACCATGGCAGATATATATTATATGACATTTAAGTGCAGTTGTGTACACCACTGTATGTATCATTTTTATTTAGGACACAAAATGCACACTATACAATATTAAAATCATCAATACAAGTCACAAATCAATTGTATCTTTTCATATTCAAATGTTATTTCATTTAATACTGTACAATAATAGTCCATTCATTTACTAAGTTTTAAAAATATGATACCATTAGTTAGGCAATTGATAAAACTAGAATAGTGAAGCGAATAGTGCGAATAGTCGACGAATAGTACGAATAGTCCGCGAATAAACGACGAATAGTGCGAATAGTCCGCGAATAGTCGACGAATAGTACGAATAGTCCGCGAATAGTCGACGAATAGTACGAACAGTCGACGAATAGTACGAATAGTCCGCGAATAGTGCAATAGAGAGTTTGCAAGGCTTTGCACCGTGCTGTAGAACTAAATTTACCGAAGCGGAGCTGGGGGGGGGGCTCTATTGACAAACATGAATTCGTGAAAACATTCGTTGATGTCAATGACGTCATACGTAATCGGTAAAAATTACGGGACCTGCACTGAGTTTTAACAGATATTTAACAGGAAGTAGAATGACAATCACTAGAATGACGTTTTCCACTGGGCGAATTTGTTCGCGCGAAGCGACAAGTAAAAGAGTAGGAACTGTTCCACAGGGCCGTGCCAACCGATTTCTGGTTGCATGGGGGGTGTATTCCAAAATTTGAGCCCCCTTCCATTCCAGGCCCCCCTCCCAAAAAAAACTTTTTCCGGAAAGCAAAAAAATTTTCCGGAGAATGTTGGCCCCCCACACCCCCCAGTTGGCACGGCCCGGCTGATCCAACTTTTTCGCGGCGAATTTTTTCGCTAACCAATCACATTGCCGAAATTTGGTTTTCGCTTTCGCGCGAACAAATTCGCCCAAAAACGGGCTTAATAAATAATAAATCGATACCTTCTCTTGTATCGTGATGTAAATCACGTTTTCCAAGCACACGAAATTACTTAAGCCCTTAAATCTTCAGTTACAACATCACAACTTACAAGTAAAATTCCTATAAAATTCCATCAGTAAAATTCATGACTCATACGGTTACCATCAGGAATGATGATCAATAAAAAAAATATGAATGACGATGACTGAATTTTAGTCGAAAGCTAGAATATTAAAATGTTTAGTATCGAAGTTACCGTTGTTTTATATTTTATTAAAATACTCGGTGGTTCCCGTAATTTTTACCGGTTACGTATGACGTCATGACGTACGTCAACGAATGTTTTCACAATTTCATGTTTGTCAACAACCTCGTACCCAGGATCTTTCTTTGGGAAAGGCTGCGGCTGGTCACGTGGCTCATCAAAAATTTAGCGCCTGAGGGGGTGTGGGGAAAGTATCAAATTCATAAACATGCTTCCAGTGGAACATTCGTTAAAAACATAAATTTTGCAAATTATTACGTTCAAAATACTTGCTAATTTTTGTTTATTTTCTTTGCTTTGAATTTACAAGAACATTCTTACATTCTTACTTACAGTCAAGTCAAGAAACAAAGCAAATCGTTACTCGCAGTACGTGCTCTGTCGCGTTGTTATTCAATGCATGCTCTCTTCACAATCGAGCGCGGTTATAACAAACCTTTTAATATTGTATTGTTTTTAAAATACGCCATTACATTCGTCCTTTCTTGTAAACGTTGATACGCTTTGTACCGATTCACTTGTTACTACGCGTCTTGTTTATAAGATTTTTAAAAGAAACAGTATTGTCTAGGACTGACCCAATATTAGCAAATGTAAACATTTGATAATAGCCGAACAGAGAAATGTCTATAAGTACAGAGGAAATTTCAGTCATTGGTTTATCTGGATTTAATACATAATTCGTTTTCGGTAATTATAGTAAGACTTTAGCGCCTTTATTTGGTCTCTATTAATCATTATATTGTGTTAACATACTATAATCTATATCGCAAATTTACAGTGTCAGATGCGCACAGACCGTCATTGGCATCATACGAATAGACATAAATTTTCGAATTTTCTAGCCTACTTCTACTAACATTTTTAAAGCTTTTATTGTGAATCACCGGTTTATCTCTAATTCATTAATCATTTATTTATTTGATAGTGTCATATAGTGAATAATGCGTTCACACACAAGCAATCCTGGATATGATATAGACGATGTAAGCTGTCCATTAAAAAATAACGGTATTCTAAATCTCACTTGTATTATTAAATCTCACTTGTATTATTAAGAATGCATATACAGCAAAAAATTTTGTGTTTTGACGGGCTTTAAGTTTTTTTGATAAGGCCTTTATATAGATCAACAATCTGGATACAGTTGGCGATATTTCGGAAATCAAAAGATCTCGCTATTTCGTTGCAATTCCACATCTCATCAATAAATAAATTCTTTTGGTCCGAGTATCAGGATAGACATTAATACTAAGTAAATAACAACCACACTGTTCGGTCTAGAGATCTACATTTTCTTGTAGGTTTAATATCGCCACGCTGCACAAGCGGCAAGCGTGCTTTCTTTGGAAAATCTATAAGTTGAATATTGAAATCTGATCCAACTTGCTTGAATTGTAACTCGACACCAGATTATAGAGTAGAGCGTCACGATATAAATATTAATTTAAGAGTTCTCTTTACGATTTCTTGTTGCAAATTTACAGTAAATTTCATCACCCAAAGTTGCAATTTTAAAACGCTACAAACACGCTCCTTTCCCACCCCTCTCACAGTTACAATTAAATTTACCTCCCAGAATCTGGGAGGCACGTGACCAGCCGCAGCCAGGGTCTCTCCCAGATGACAGAAGGAGAGACCCTGGGAACGAAGTTGGTTTGTCAATAGAGCCCCCCTGGTAAATTTAGTTCTACAGCACTGCTGCAAATCCTTGCAAAGTCTCTATTGCACTATTCGTCGACTATTCGTACTATTCGTCGCCTATTCGAATTCGCGGACTATTCGTCGCCTATTCGTACTACTCGTCGACTATTCGCGGACTATTCGTACTATTCGTCATCTATTCGCGGACTATTCGTACTATTCGCGGACTATTCGTACTATTCGTCGACTTCGGAATGTATAGTAAATTTAAAATTGGCCTCAACTTAGAGTCCTGTAGGTTTAACACCCTTTTCAATGTTTTACTTAGTGTTTGCTCGCGGAAAATAAGCGAACTTATTTTTCACCCTGCTCGGTTTCCTTTGTTCTTGTCGGGGAATATATTCAATATTCCACTCTAATCAATTTCCGTTTAATAATCCCCTCTAATATTCACCTGCAATTAATAATCCCCTCTAATATTCACCTGCAATGTCTTTGCAGCACAAAAAATGAGAAAAAACAACATCGCGAAGGCAAAATGGCATTAAGAATTATTTCTTTTCTGACTCATTAACGCGACCTCGCAGTGTGAAAAATAAGTACGTTATTTTGAGGCACCTCGGGGATATGTGATTTATTCACCTCGGCGCTGCGCGCCTCGGTGAATAAATCACATATCCCCTCGTTGCCTCAAAATAACCTATACTTAATTTCATAAAACACACATATCTGCTTAGTGATTTCTTGAGTTCGTTTGGAATAAATAAACTAAGAGACATTTCTGCTGTTTATCGTATGGTTGTGTCTTAAATTATGTTAGGATTAATTTATTTTAAGGTTTTTCGTTCTCTATGCACATTTTCAGCTATTATAGATTAGAACAAATCTCAATCTCTACATGTTACATATAGGTTAAAAGCCAAGGGAGAGGTTTTTATTAAACTGTGAAGACCGAGGGCCGAAGGCCCGAGGTCTTTACAGTTTAATAAAAACCTCTCCCTTGGCTTTTAACCTATATTTACAAACTCATCAGACCATATTCTTTTGTATTTCGTCGGTTTTTAACTCCGCCGTAATAACCTTCAATCTAAAAGCAGGCGGTGGTATTTGATTTCTCCGGGGGAAATACGGGGTTGAAGGTTATTACGGAAAAATAATAACCGGGTAGCAGGTTATTACGGAAAAATAATAACCTGCTAGTCTGCTACCAGGTTATTATTTTTCCGTAATAACCTGCTACCAGGTTATTATTTTTCCGTAATAACCTGCTACCAGGTTATTATTTTTCCGTAATAACCTGCTACCCGGTTATTATTTTTCCGTAATAACCTTCAACCCCGTATTTCCCCCGGAGAAATCAAATACCACCGCCTGCTTTTAGATTGAAGGTTATTACGGCGGAGTTAAAAACCGACGAAATACAAAAGAATATGGTCTGATGAGTTTGTAAATATAGGTTAAAAGCCAAGGGAGAGGTTTTTATTAAACTGTAAAGACCTCGGGCCTTCGGCTCTCGGTCTTCACAGTTTAATAAAAACCTCTCCCTTGGCTTTTAACCTATATGTAACATGTAGAGATTGAGATTTGTTCTAATCTATAATAGCTGTTAATCATGTTAAAATGTTACATGTTACACTAAAATTACTATACTTTACTATGGTTCTTGACATGTTACTACATGTTACACCTATATTTTTAAAAGGAACTAGATTATTTTATAGGTAGGTGTAACATGTTGTAACATGTGAGGATATATAATAAAATATAGAACTTTTAGTGTAACATGTACTGTAACATGTGGTGTAACATGGTGTAACATGTAGTGATTTTACTCAGACTGTACATTTCTTAAATAATAAAAAGATATTCGTTAAGACAAGCACCAATTTTGAGGCAATCACAGGTATATGCGCTATAAAAGCATATTGAAACCATATTAAAACATACTTTATAGGTACAATTCTGCACTATAAAATTTTAATGATTGACAAATATGTGAAAAAATGTGACGGTCATGAAACATTGTACAATGTAATAATCTATATATGCCATATCTGTCGCTCCGATAGTTTTTTGTTATTACCTGCCATGATTTTTTGTCAATATGAGCCTTACTGGATAAATTAACCACAATTTTCCTTAAAGCAGGGCACCAACATAAGCCCCCCCGTCTATCGACCCCCTGGCGTTCAAAAAGTTTAATCAAACCCTGCATTATGTTCCTAATATAGAGTCCTTTTTAATTTGAAAATTATCTTTCGAAAACGACGGTACAATTAACTTGGTAAAATGATTATCCCGATTGTATTTTTTCAGACAATCTTGGAAAAAATATGTGTAGACTTTTCGAAATATACACCCAAATTTGAAAACATATGATGAAAATGTGAGCATTTTTCAATTAAAGCAACTATTTACCATAAATCCCCCCCCCCTCCCCCCACAAACAATGTTGGTTCAGGTAAAGTGGATTTGCAACACATGTCACCTAAATACCAACATTGTATAAGGGGGGAGGGGGACAAAGTTTGAAAATTTAAGAAGTCTACTAATTTTTTTCCAGGATTGTAGTTTTATCAATTGCCCGCAAAACAAGTAAACGTAGTCAAATATATGAATTAGAATCCATTGCTAGTTGATATTATAACGTTACAAAATATAAACTAAACACTCTCTGAGTAGAAATATATTCAGCTCGAAATCGTAACAGATTCGGT